GAGGCAGTGTTGGTGGAGGTTTCTTCTGTCGGAAATTCAAACACCAAAACTATGTGCAGGCTTCCGGACTTCTGCAATGCCTTTCAGGTTGAATTAGCTGCCATCAATGGAGCGGTAGACTCACCCTTAGCCTTGCTGGTTGAAGACTCAGTGCCCGTAACGCTGTCAGTATGAAACTTTAATCTCCTCTCATCACCATGGTATTTTTGTGCTTCTATCCGATGAACACTGTACTCACAGTAATATATTTATCTGTTACATTTTCCTAAAATGACACAAACTTTATGAGTCCCAGTTGACCTGGTGATTTATTCCGAGCGACAGTCGTTAACATTTATTTTTATTTTTATTAATTTCCACAAAGCGGCAGCATAGTAAGTCACGGTTTAAAGAGATATGAAGAGATTGTTCTATTTCTTTCTACAAGTCCCGCTGCATTTTTGCAGCGTTGGTAGCTGCACTCACTGTTAACTGCCTTCTGCTTCGTAATTTCCTTTCAAGGCAACCGAACGTGCAGCACCTAAATTTGTAAAAGCTTTCAGCACAAAAGCGGCAAATGCCGATCGCGCGCCATCCATCCACCCACAGCGTTACAATTTGATTTGGCTATCTTCTTGTGAATTGTTGCATTGGTCATGCGTTGCGTTGCAACTTTTGTTCTTGTACTGAAGTCGTATCAAAGCGACCGTTCCGAACGCCTGTGCGAACCGCCAGCGAGCGACCGACTGACTTAGCATCCAAACACCAGCCGTTCACCGCAACCGTTCTGCGCTTCTGCATGCAAATTGGGTGCGTCTTTGATCTCTTAACGCTGCTGGTGACGAATAAATTAAGAAAATATTGCAATGTTTTTTTCTAGGTATGGGCAATCGAGGTCTTTGATATTTTTATGCCGTGTGTCGAATGTCGTATGCCTGGTGTGTGCGAGTTCAAAACGCTAGCAAACGTAAAAAATGTGTTTTCAATTTGTGTATGCTTTCGCAAGTAAAGTATGTATGTAAATAAAAAAAGAACTGTTTTTGCTTTTTGAAATTCGTGGAATCGGGCGTAGTTAGTAGTGATTGTATGACTGAAATATATTTATTGGTTTTTTGTAGCAATACTTTAAAAACGTATAGCATTGACGAGTTAGTTCACATGGAAATTAAAAATATATTACCCGAGTTAAGCACTCTCATTAGATGTAGAGACCAAAGTCTGGGAAAACTTAGTATCAGAGAGGTTTTTTTTTTGGCGAAATTTGCAGAGAGAGATTTAAGCAATCAAATGGTCAACGCGTTTGAATTGCCAAAGTATAGGGACGAAGCTCACGTCCCTCTATCCGATCGAGATGTGGTGAGAGCAGCAATAAGGTGCCTTACGAGCAACAAGGCCCCCGGGACCGACGAAATATCGGCTGGGCTATTTAAAGCCGGTGGCGAAGATTTATTGGGGCGCATGTACCAGCTGTTAAGCTGAATTTGGTCTGATGCATACATGACCGAAGACTAAGGGATATCCCACAGTTTGCGCCAATTACATGTAAAAGACTGGAGCCTTTCATGAACCAACTGATCGGACCTTATTAGTGTGACTTCATACCTGAAAAATTCTCCATTGACCAGATTTCCACAGCACGTCTTGTCCTGGAGAAGACACTATATAAGCAAATCTAAGCACACCATTGTTTTGTCGATTTTAAAGTTGCTTTTCATAGCACGAAGAGAAGCACGCTGTTGTACGACGACGTGCCTAAATTTGGGATTCCCACAAAACTAAAACAGCTCTGTAGAGTGACGTTGAGCACAACCTGCAGCTTCGTTCAAGTTGGGAAGGACCTCTCCACGCCGTTTGAGACCAAACGAGATTTTAGACAAGCCAATTCACTTTCGTGCTACTTTTTCAATCTGATGCTGGGTTGCGTAAAAAGAGCTGCCAATCTGCAGATGATATCGACATCGTCAGTCTGAAACTAAGGCACGTAGGCGCAGCATTTCCCAAATTAGAAAGAGAAGCATAAGTGGTCGGAATGAGGATAAGACAACAAACCTTCTGGCTGTTTATAAAGAGTCCACGCATTTCGGGACACATGTCACAGTTGGAAGCTTTCAATTTTAAGTAGTGAAGGACTTTGTCTACGTTAGATTCAGCTTAAACAATCTCAACAACGTCTACAACAACAGCCTGGAGATCAAGCGAAAAATTACTCTTGCCAACAGGTGCTTCGTTGGAAGCAGAACAAAAATCACGATCTGCAAGGCTCTCATCTCGACCATTCGTCTATATGGCATCGAAATTTGGACGACGTCGACAAAGATGAGATGTCTGTGGGTGCTTTCGAGAGAACCATTCAACGCAAGATCTATGGCCGTGTTCGCGTGGACGACGGGTATCGGAGAAGATGGAATGAAGAAATGTATAAACTTTTTAACGACATAAAATTGGGAAAGTGAAACTACACACACTGAATGGATTTAAAGTGAATTTGACTGAAATTCACTTAAAAGTGAACCGCTAAACCTGCACGATAAATCAGAGTATCCATTAAGAGATGTTAGTACCAGTATCTGGGTTTTAGATCTGTACATACATATATGAGTCCCTGATGAAACGGAGTACTTTCCAATTGATATCAGCCGCATAGAGACTTAAAGTGCATCTACATGGTGTTCTTTTGTTGAACTTGATCCTTATCGATCAATTTTGATTAGATATTCTTCCAGAGCCAACACAATGAAAATACCAACAATTTAGTATATCTTGGAAACCGGCAAAAAGAATGAGGTTGCAAGTTTTTAAAGGAATGACTGTAAGTGTGATAAATGGGGAGTAATGTAAACATCACTGGAATTCATGTGTATGTATGCACTTATGTACTTATCAAGTATATATTGCGAATGCTCCTGAAACCAAACCCTATTATTTGTACATTTACGAGCCCACTTCAGCCAATATATATTTCGTACATAAATGAAAGAGTTGACGGCCGTGCTGCTGCAACGTAAAAAAAATCGCACTGATCATTGCAACGCGCGAACGTGGGGTGAGGGCGGTCAGCAACACTGACACATCCATTAACAACTTCAATGATTGATGAGATTTACGCCACTGCAGCAGCGAGCAATAATAAAACGAACAGAAAGAGCAAAAAACAGCGGCTGCGGAGCGTCTGAATTTCACACAATAAAATGCGTTTAACACATTTTACAACAAAGCAGATGATGATCGTAAAATGCTCGTTGCAAAAGGGAAAATCCATAGAAAAAGGAAGAAAGAAGTGTATCAAAAATGAGGGCATAAAATGAAATGTTAAAAGTGTTAACGAGCGGGGCTACAATGGGACCACCAGGAAGTGGCAAACAATTTGGCTTAAGCAACGTTGCGGTGGCGTAAAAAAGATCGGTTGAAAAAAAACAGATAAAGGAAAATGCAAACTTGCAACTTTTTTTTTTTTGCTAGCGAATTTGCAGTTTTTTACATACATATGCATGTATGTGTGTTCATTAGACCGGATCAGACAAAAAGTGTGCCTTGCACCCCTGAGCTTTTAAGTATTTTTGTGAGGCAAATTCGAAAGACAATTTTTTTTTTCGCAAAACCCACCTTTTGTTAGTTTTCGTCATATCTTTGGCATTTACATTCGAAACTTAAAGTATGGTACATCGATGTTCTTGTCTCGAATTCACTGACCTCGGATACCCCGTTCTATCACTTATCAACACCCTAAAACAGTAAATTAAAACTCTTTTTTTGATTATTCCCGTAGAACTATTTAAAAACTAATTTATTGCCGAATGTGGGTGTCCCCGCAAAATGTACAAAGGCGACCAAAAAGTTCGGTATAAAGGAGATTTTTTTTTGCGAAGTTGCAAACTTTTATTTTTACTTGTAAGGTAGTATTGTCTAATTTACATACATACATACGTATGTTTTTGAAGTACATCCTTCCACTTTTTGATACATATGTGTACATTAGGGGCATCACTCACCATAAAAAAAAACGTCTATTTTATTTGTTATTTTAAGACTTTTGAGTTTTAAAAATCAAGTTTTTTTGTAAATAAAATTAATTTGTATACACATTTATCCCCCAAAACCAACTCAGATGAAAAATATTTTTAAAAACTAATTTTATTTAAAATATAATTGACATTTCCGGAGGTAAATCTTAATAGTTTTCGAAAATATTTTGGCGGAAGTCTTAAAATATAAAACTTTTTACAATTCCGGTGGAAAACCCGCAACTTTATTTGATGAGGCACCCTTATGTACATACGTACACTAGGGCGGGTCAATTTGTATGGGAGATTTTTTTGACTATACGCATATAGCACAGAAAGATTCTACGTGTAACTCTAAGGAAATTTGCCGAAGAAACCATGTGTCTAAATTCAATTTGGAGTTTTTCAAATTGCGAAAATATATAAATAAATATTGCTTAAAACATGCTATAGTCGGTTTTGGTATGATGAATCCATTACTGCACTTATCTTTTTCTTAAAATTCCCAAGGGAGGGCGCAGCGATGAAGATTTTCACATTTTTTTCGAAACCTATTTTAGAAATTTGGCGAAGTCCGAATTGATTTTTAGACACAATTTTAGACCAATGGGTTTTCGGCAAATTTGCTTAGAATTACACGCAGAATCCTCATTTGTTATACCGCATAGTAAAAAAAAATGACCCGCCCTAACATACACCCATTAATATATGTATGTATGGATGTAATATATGCTTCTTTGTTTTCCTTAGTCTCTAAAATTTGTTTAAAGTTTTCGCCTTTCAGAATTAAAATATTTGGAAAATGATCACATGCGATCTCGAGCAGCCCGCAAAATTAAATTTCCGCTAGCAAAACTTCAACGCGATTCCGCGCAAGTTTACATATGTATATTTTTTGCCTTTGTGTTTACATTTAATAAATACACAAAACAAAAGAAAAATTAAAGCAGCTACTACACTACTATAATGATAATATTTACTAATTTGCATTTGGTATTCTTCTTTTCATTTTATTTACAGTTGATCGCGCCATGAGTCCGGCACAATCGGAGGATTCGGGTCTGGCACCCGATCGTGGCACCACATATGCCACCATAACATTGCCACGTGACGGCGCACTCAATATGGGCATCACATTCGTAGGTGAGTGAGTACATACCTACGGAGGCAATAACCTCTCAAGTACATACTTATTCTTTAGCCAAATTTTCCACTCTTAATGTATTTAGTAAAAACTTTTGTTTTTTTGTACAACAAATTATATAAAATTAAAAACAGAATTGTGTTACTAATTACGGCACGCTTGTATAGGGACTCATGCGGTTGCACGCTCGCCCATTACCCTTTTTACCCTCACTTAATCCACAACAATTAGTGCCACTCTTTTTCCAAATTAAGATTGAAATGTATTTATGTATTTCGAAATGATTTCCAAATCTCAACACAGAGCAGCAGCTCTTTCCACTTCCGTTTTGTTGCGCCATGCGGCAGTGAAGGGGTTATTTTTTTTTGGTTACTTTGTGTGTTTGTCACGCAGCATTAATAGATACATAAGCTACATACATACATACATTCAACTATACATATGTGCATACATGCATGCAAACATAATTGTGCAATAAAGATGGGTTTCAATTTACATTCTAAGAAATTTGACATTTCAAATCTCCGAAAGCCAACGCGTGTCCTCAAAATTCTTGACACGCATGGCCCTATTTATTTATTTGATTGATTGATGGACTGGCAACATAATCTGCAAGTGGATTACCTACTCCTTATTTATTCTCTCCAAAGAACGGTCGCAAATTATCCGATCAAAATAGATGTGCGTTTAATTATCGAATGTGACAGTTGATGATAAATATGCGATGAGATTGAGAGTTTGAATTTTAGATTTTATTAATGAAAAATTGCTCCGAAAATGTTTTGGCTCATAAGAGAATTTATCATTCATATTTACGTATGTACAAAGGTACATTAGACTGCATTACCAAAAAAAAGTAGGGGTTTTTTCCGCCGGGATTACAAAATTTATTATATTTGAAGACCTTCACCAAAATATTTCGAAAAATTATTAAGATTTATGTGAGCTGGACCGATTTGAAAACACCTCCAATAATGGAGTTTTTTTTATGAATAAAAATAGTTTATTAAAGATTATTTCCATAAAATCCCCTCAGATGATTGAGGAGTTTAAGCTAAAAAACTGTGCATAAAAATTAAAAAAAATTTCAACGGAATCACACTAATGAGATTCTCGATGCTGCTTTTTACCTTTTTTCAAAGACTGGTTTAAGAATAAATTGAATAACAGGGACTAAACTCAGATGATTTAGACTTTTGAGGTATCATTGGAAAGTTATTTGCTCACCCTGTTTATTTCTTTGCAAAGAAACTCCGTGAAAAACAGTACCGAGTTTTTTTTTTTTTTGTATGGGGAGCAGAGTGTCCAGATTGGCGAATTAGCGCCAATTTGGCGATTTTTTTTAATTTTTGCGCTATCATGTTAATGCGTGACAAGTAGGTTATGGAGTTAAAGCTTTAATTTGGTTGTAGCATATCGAACATTTGCCAATATTACACCACCATTTGTGACAACTCCCGCTGAATGTGAAATTTGCAATTTCATTTGTGGAAATAGCGAAATCTCGCCTAATTATAGCTAAACTGAAAAGTGGACCTGTTGGGGTAAAATGAAACTCATGATAAGGCTCACGCAACCGCAAAATTTACAAAGATTGGCGATTATCAGTGCACATCAAAATCCTCAGCAACGTGCCCCAAGCTAATCAACAGCTTTGAGTGCTTGCATCGCGAATTCATGCTCCTTAACAACTGAAATAAAAGCGGAATCCTGATCTGCGTCGTACAGTGAGAAGAAGTACCGTAATAAATGTCCAATTACTTCGACATGCCGCACCGTTGAGTATGTATATAGAAAATGGCAATGGAAGATATGCCTTCTGACGACCCAAAAAACCATAATCAGAGCAAATAAATGTGCCACAGGAAGTTGGTTAAAGTATTGTAAGGAAATGTTTCAACAAAAAATAAATGTTGGGCGAAAAAATTTGTCTACTGGAAAAATATTTTTACAAATCTAATATCTCTCGTGATGTCAACCATCTCGTTATAAACCGACTTTGATAAAGCCACTACTCGGTGATCTTTATATATGTACATTTATGTATCGTCGCCTGGGTGAAAGATTGTCGTATGTTACGCACGTACGTATGACGCATACGACAATCTTTTACCCAGGCGACGGTATGTAGTATTAATTTCATTTTTATTCTCACTTAATTTTCAATTTATAAAACCGTTTATAACATCTTTGTATTTGAGTTGAAAATAATTAAAATTCTCTGCGTGTCTCTGATTTAAATTCTTTCAAAGCTAAATAATAGAATCTGAAAACGACTACTTAATGAAGCATATGAAAAAGAATTTAAGATTTCTGCGGAAATTGTCGACATACAAACATAAATAAATTTCACTTTAAATCTTCAATGATTTATCGCTCGCATAAATATTTCAAATTCGCTACACTCGCGCATTGTTAATTGTGTGTCATGTACCATAACATATGTTTTTATTACGAGCAAGCGTAAAAAACCCAATAAGTAAAAAAAAAAAGAAAAAAAAAACAAATTTCAACCGAAGAATAAAATAATTATTCTAAAGTTTTACGCGGACATTGTACTGTTAGAGTTAAAAGGTAAAATCGCTAAATGTTCAAAGAACTGCGGACTCACATATAGTAAACCCAAACTGAAAAGATTCTATTCTTCTATACCGAAAAAATATACCCCAATGTTAATAAAAAATCGTTTTTATTAAAAAAAGGTTAAATAAACAAGTGGATATTAATATTGGAAGTCTCGTGAAGACAACCAGAAAATATTGATTTTCAAGAATTCTACACTCTAAAAAATTTTTGTTTAAATTTGCAAGATAGGTAATTAGTTTCCTCTCTTAATGAATGCAAATTTAAGTTAAGTTTTAATTAAATTAAACACTGCTTACTTTTACTTATCATATGTGTGGCGCTCGTTTTTTGAATTCTTAACATTTATTTTTCATAATTTCACAGTTTACACATAAAATGTTTAAAATTTGCTCTAAAAAATTTTTGTTCAAATTTACGCATACAAAGAGAGGTAACCAGCAGAAGATGTCGCGCAGAGCAAAATTACATATAAAATGTTTAAAATTGAGTAAATATGGGCACTTCATGTTTATTATAAGTAAAAAATTTATTTTTACCTCAAAATTTTTTGCAACTTAAAATATTTAATGTGTATGTTCTAAACATATCATGTTCAAAATCCAATACTGAACATCTTGTGCGTATATTTACACGGATTCTGGTTGAAAAATATACACTTTTAGGTAGTACTTTTACATGCACTTTTTAGAGTGTATGCCATTTCTACGAAAAATTGTTTTTTCGTCATATAAAATATGTGAAAAACTTTTAGCACTTTGAGCACCTCCGTAAATATTTTTTTGATTACAAAATCTTCTTCGAATTTCTCCAAAACAAGTTCTTCTAAGGTTATTTTTTGTTTGCCCTTCATATCGAAAGGTTATGGGTAAACTTTTAAGGTAACAAATCTTCGGTATTTATTGAGCACATAAAATTAATAGTCCCCAACTCTGACCTATTAATGGTATTTTTATATTTGTTTACGACCAGACGGCATTAAGTTGGGAATTATCACAAACTGTCTTGAAGAGGAGTTGGCCAAGGACCCTTCACTTCCAAAATAGCAGTATGGGTGTGAAATCAGGCTCCTAGACATCTCAGCTCCAGCCCAGCGTCTGGACACTCTACAATTTTTGAAAGTTTTGATTTATTCCCAGATCACTGTGTCTCTGAAAAGCCGCCAAATAGCATATAATTTGATAAGCAATCGTAATCCGAGCTCTGAGCTAACCTATGGTGCGATAAAAATTTGCAATTGCGTCAGAATATTAGACTTGTATACACAAGTACCAGGCCCTACAAAGATTACGGGATATGGCATGTCTGACAAGAGGTTGAAAAATGGTATCCTTGAAACGAAATCACTGGTCATGCGACGTGTGGGTACGCCAGTGACCGCCTGCGGATCGCCCTTGGAGAAAAGGGTCTAGTAGCAGCTCAGCAAATGCAAGGCGAAAATAGAGAAATGCGAAATTGCAAGGTCCTTCTGCATTGTAATCACTCGAGTTTACCTCAAACCTGGTGTGGGACAGCTTTTAGCTATTAATACTCATCGCACTAATGAATCGGGTTTCCCTCATTTGGATATCGTGTCGCATTGTAGTCTTAGGCAATAAAGTGGTCAACGTAGGCTATGGACCCTTCAGCGGCCCTAGTCAAAGGGAATTCACAGCCAACGTTTATAAAAAGGTTCCTGGACCGAGTCGGCTGGGGAGCTACTGGATATCCTTCAACATGCTCACTTTGTAGGGTGCAGGGTCGATATAGTGGAAACCTCTGCCCTAAAACATTCTACCAATCCTCTCCGAGGACCAGCTGAAAGAGCTACTGGAGAGCGAAAAGATAAATTTTGCTATCTTCAGCTTCTCACCCTTCAAATCACCGGGTATGGACTGAATATTACCAATCATGCTTCAGGGAGCGTTACGCCATTCATAAGGCACAGGGATTGATCACTGCGTCCAGACTTGGATAGTGAGTAATCTACGTAAGGAGCATCAAAGAGAATGTACCCGCGAGAACGCAGGACAATGTCTTCTCGAATAGCCAAGCGGCTATTCAGGCAGAAGAGAGTCTGCCTCTGTTAGATCGCAGTTAGTGGATGAATGTAGGAGAGAGCTGACCTAAATTTCTGATCAATATGAAATTACCCTAATACAGGTCCCGGTACAAAGAGACATTACGGAAACGAGGCAGCGGACGAACTAGTAAGGTGCGGCTCCGAACTGAATGTGGCCCTCGCGGTGGATATGGAGGGCTCCCTCTGGGAGATCTTAGGTCTAGCAGAGGTGACACTTCCACTTAAAACCAAAGCTATTTTAGGAATGAGCAAATAAGATACCTGTAAACATACTGCAGTATACACAGCGCACGGCCCGTTAGGATACATGTCGAATGGATTGGATTGCTATTCTATAGGTTCTACAGGTCGGAC